GGCCGACTACGGTCTCTGGCCGACTACGGTCTCCTGCCGACTACGGTCTCCGGCCGACTACGGTCTCCTGCCGACTACGGTCTCCTGCCGACTACGGTCTCCTGCCGACTACGGTCTCCTGCCGACTACGGTCCTTCAGGCCAAACAAACCTGTATATGTCACTCCTACCATGTAATGCAATCTGTATGATGTACATTTGCTACATCAATCCAAGGCCTTCTCCTAAGGAAGGGCCTCATTTGTAATCGACTACAAATACTAGTGGATTCATTCAAACCGGGCCAGGCCCCGTGGTTTTTCCCCCTTTTTCAGGGGTTTTCCACGTAAAAACTTTGGTGTCTCTTATGAACGCTACACCCTCTCACTTATCTGATTGTGTGCTGGATCTTCGTACAACGCTAAGACGTTAAACCATATATTTCTCTACCGCCGCGAATATTCCAGGACGCAACAAGGATAAAATTTTTGACTGTTCTATCATTTCTGCTTAGTGGGGGCAGGAATCATTCATATGAGTCTGGCAAATTTTTATTGGTCCGCCGGCCCATGCAATAACTACGTGATTGGTTGGAAAAAAATAAATAAAAAATTTCTTGCAAAATTTTTAAAAGGATTTTAAAATTTTAAAATTTATTTTTTAAATGAATATAATAAAAATATATTTATTTATTATGTCATATTCATTCTTGATTATCAAATATTAAAAGTTGGGATGAATATCATGTATTTGAATGATATCAATTTTATTAAAAATGATTAATAATAATTTATTTAATTACTTTATCTTGAAGAATTAATATTTAATTCATTAAATTTATTGAAATTTAAATAATATATTTAATATTATTAATAAATAGCTAATATTTATTAATAAGTTGTCAATCGAACGCCTAGTAAAAATGTGTGGAATTTTTCTTTTTGAGCTTTAATAATTTATGCTTGTTATAGAAAGAAAGTGTGCTGGCTTTTTATTTATTTATTTATTTTAATTTTGGTTGAAGATTTTATGAATGCCGTGTTCTGAGGAGTTCATAAAGGTAATATTTTATTTGATGGAATGAATTTTTTTTTGTTTTAAAATCATAAAATTTTCAATTTTTTTAAATAAGGGGATTTCCATACATAGCACTGACTAAACTTATTTAAGTCTCATTTGACGCTTGCTTATATTTTAGGCATCATGCTATTTGAAAGCATGAGTTCAAGATATCCATTAGGATCTACAATCAATCACTCGCATCAAATGCTCAATTACCGTAACTTGTAATGTCTGATATTTAAAACATATCGAAGTGATCGAAAAACGTGGCAGATGATTTTATGATTGCCCTCAAAATAGGACCCAAGACGATTGCAACTTGGATTGATGAAGCCGATCAATCGTCGAACATAAGTCATCATCTAATACCAATGACGATGGAGGAGATGACTTCAGAAAATTTATAAGTCAGTCAAGTATGAGTCGATTCAAATTAAAGTTACGTTGTTAGCTTGGGTTCTTGTCTCGCTGTTAGTGTTCTTCTTTTGTCTGTATTAATGTATTGTATTTGAAAGTAAAATATATGCATTGGCAATATATATTTTTAAGTGTTAATGTATTGACAATTATATTGTATTTGAAAGAGTGCATTAATATAAGTTTTGATTTATTCTCCATGTTGTGTTTCTTGCTGAAATCAATTTGTTTTTTGCACATTATTATCATACATCAATGTTATTGGTTTCTTCTAAAACACCCACATCATCACCCTAATTTGGATAATTAAAGCTAAGTACAATATGTGTTCTTATTGTGAGAAGTTTTCTTATAAATCAATTTCGGAGTCCCCTAGGTCTCAAAGTTTTGGGCACTCCAATTTGAACTTCATCTTAAGCGACACACCATTGACTTTTGTCAGGCAGTGTTGTAATTGCCCCTTCGTAAGCTTGTTTATTCCTGAAATTCACTTAATTTTGTCAACCAAAAATAGCAAGAAGCTTGCATTTATTAACTTTAAATAAAGATGTCTTCATACCTACTAACATGGTAGAATTGGTCAATATAAACATGCCAAAGTGGATATTCCTTGATACTAAATATTGAGCTACGTAAATGCACGGTAGGCCATTCATTTGCCAACCAGAGCTATCTAATCTCATCTATCGGTAAAAAATAGAGAAAAATAAATTTTATAATTCAAAATATCAATACACATTTTTATTCATTGACAAAAAAAAAATCATATACAATACTAAGAAATCATATAGTCATAACATATTCTTTCATTCATGAGTACAAACAAATAATTAAAATAAAAAAAAATTAAATAAAATTTGAGGAATCCTGATCATTACACCTGAACCTCTTTTCTGACATGAAATCATTTAAATCACATATAATGAGCTAAACAGCCCATCAAATTACTAAAATCTTATAACTGAATTCAAACCACGATAAAGAAGCAGTATGCATATCGTCAATCAATTCATAATAGTAACAGTCATGTGATCAAACAGTGGCAGAGCCAAAAACTTTTTATAGAGGAGTCTAAGTTTTGCTCCTAATAATAATAAAAAGTTCAAGAATCATATTGGAGATTTTTTATAAATAAGGGTAAAAAAACACTTGCTAGTTAATTAGTAACTTAGTAGTGTAGAACACATTGAGAGCACGCACTATACATGAAATAGACAATAACAAAGAACCCTACTCTATGTTGTCATTATCTACTTGACAAAATCTAGAACCAATAAAAAGAGGAATGATACCTAGATCTTCTTATGTTAAAAGTAAAGAATCCAATGCAATCTTTAAGCACACAAAATATAAAACCTACTAAGCAAAAATTCAGATTAATATAAATTAATCAAATTACTAGAGATCATATATAGCAACATCCTAAAATTTAATTGAATTAAAGTACTATTTTTATACATCAAAATAAAATTTAAATTAATAAAAATTATTACTATTCTAAAATCACCTGACAAAAAATATCAAGTAAATACTCAAAACATTCATAATCTCAATCTCTATAATATATAAAAACTTACGTAGTAAAAAATTTACTAATATAAAATTATCCTCATTTTTCGTAAATAAAAATAGAAATTTGACTAAAAAAATCTCAAAAAATACTAAATTATTGAAGTAAAAAATAGGATAATAGTACCGTATAATGGGACAAGCAAATCTCCTAATAGAGTCGACTAATAAAAATCACACCACTACCCACAAATCAATTTTGATTTATAATGAATCTTAAAAAAAATATTTGATTGGATCAAAAATAGGAGCTATTATAATCTATGCAACTTAAAAAATGTTATCCATGTTATTTTTCTTAAGGATTCAGGCACAAAATCAAAATAAATCAACTTCCTATGATGAAAATTGAAATTAAAACTTGTCAAAAAAAAAAAAAAAAAATCATACATTTATGCACATCATTTCATATGTCATTCAATTATGTATGATAAACTTCTTACTAGTAGAACTCTCCGGTTGTCATCGTCCTCCGAAGTAGTAAGTTGTATATTCGTGGCATCATCGGAGTGGATGTTGTCTGTGCTGTCGATCATGGTATAACAAGCTCTTTCTAGCCACCACTGATAACTCTATCATCAGCCATATTGGTTAATCTTTTACTTTATGCTCTCGCTCATACAGTCTTATGTCCTTCAGTCTGCCTAGACTGTTCTGCTCTTAAATCAGTTATTCCTCTTTATGGCCAATCCATTGCCTTGTGTCATTGCTATCTACATAAAAAACATTATCATGTCAAAAGGTAGCAATTACTCGAATGTCTCCATCTACAATGAATACATTTGTTGTAGTTGCCGGTAGATGCTACCGATGCAAATCCTCTCGAATCACTATACATGCTCTTCTTGTCACTATTTTTCTACTGTCCAATCCACCATCTCTCAGCTTCTCATTTAAAGAGAAACAAAACCAATGGTACCTTTCTATTCTCTAGACAATGCATGCTATTGAAGTTCTTTTTTATCCTCAATAACCAATCTTCTGCAGCCTAAGGTCTTAAAGCTGATTTGAACAGCGAAGGCTTTAGCTTATGAAATACCTACAAATGCTTATCTCTCGCTTCTCCTTTCTCCTTGATGGCTTTCCCTGAATAACAAAGTGGTAGAAATGAGGGAATAGGAAAGTTTTAGGTGTAGAAGGTGTATTTTAAGAGTTTTAGGTGTTAGATATGTAAATAAACAAGTTTAAAGTGTAACGTATGTAAATCCCCCT